GGGCTGGGAGCAGGGCATGGTGCTGGGCTGGGAGCAGGGCATGGTGCAGGGCTGCACTGCGCATCCCATGGAGCAGCACTGCCTTTGCACATGTGCTGTTAGTGAGAGGGCAGCCTCTGCTCTGCCATTCAGTGGGTGCTGCAGTGCTGACAGCTGTTCCGCAGCAGAGGAGCGATGTGGCACTATGTGAGAGCGGAATATTGTGGATTTGGATTTTTGTTTTTTTGTTTTTTTTTTTTAATAAAAGTATCTAAGTGGAAAACCCAGGTAATTTGGCTGTCTGGTTTGCAGCAAGGGGCAGAATCCCAGAATCAGAATCCCAGAATGGTTTGGGTTGGAAGGGCCCTCACAGCCCATCTGATTCCATGCCACTGTTCCCTCCCCAGCTCAGGCTGCCCAGGGCCCATCCGTGACAGATGTCCCGTCCACGGATACTCTGTGCAGCAGTGCCGGCGTCTCTCCACCCTCTGAGTAAAAAATTTCCACCTCACATCCCATCTGAATCTCTCTTCTTTTACTTTAAAGCCATTCCCCCTCGTCCTGTCACTGCCCCGTGGTCGGGCGAGCGGGGCGGAGGCACAGTGCAGCATTACCGCAGCCCCGCCAGGAGCGGGGTGCCGCCTCTTCGTCGTGAGAGCCGCCGGGCGCAGGGCTCAGAATGGGGCGAAAAGAAAAGGAATAGAAATTTTAAAATGAATTAAAAAAAAAAAAGGAAAATAAAAAGTGAAAAATTAAAAAAGGAAAAGAAAAAATAAAAAAAGAAAGGAAATATAGTTTAAGAAGTCAAAAAAAAAAAGCTGTGCGCCGCCCGGGAATCGAACCCGGGTCGCAAGAATGGGAATCTTGCATGATACCACTACACCAGCGGCGCTGCTGTTGAGCGCCTCTGCGCTCCTTTTGTAGCATCCCTGCCACCATCTCGGGTGGGGAAACTGAGGCACGGCCACCTGAGCGGAGACGGCTGCAAGGTCACGGTCACACTGAAGCTCGGCCCCACCGCAGCCGGAGGAGCGGGGCTGTGCGCGGATCCGCCGGCACTGCCCGTCAGGCGCCGCATTCCCGGCCACGTGCGGACCTCCGCGCACCGCCCCGTCCGAAGATCACAACGCGCGGGGCCGCCCGGTGCTGTTCGGGGCGCGTTGCCGCCGCCACCGCCGCTCGGGGACCGCTACGGTCCTTTCCCGAACGGAAGGCCTCCTTGAGCGTCCCCCGAAGCGGAATGAGGGATGCTGGCACCGCCGCAGCCCCGCAACACGCGGTGCAGCGCCCCGTCTTTGCCGTGCCCCGGCACCTCCAGCCGTGACCCCCGGCACGGCGCTGTGCATCCCTCGTGTGCCCTCTGCGTGTCACCCGGCTCCTGCGTGCTCATCTCGAGCAAAGCTCCCGCCTGTCACAAGCCCGTTTCTGCGCCCTCCTCCGTCCTACACATCGCCCCACGTGTCACCATGGCCGCGCGCCCTCTGTCCCGCATTACGTCCTACACACCCCGTGTGACACCGCGTCCCACGAGGGGCAGAGGGCTGCCCCGCAAACCCCACAGCCCCGCATCCCACGCGTTAACGACACCCACGCTTCTCTCCCCCTCCACGCGTTCTCCCCCACGAGAGCGGCGCGGTCCCTTTAAGGCCGGGGGCGTGCCGCGGGCCCGGCCCGGCCCGTTAAAGGCCCGGCACGGGGCGCGGGGTGCACTCGGCCGGCGGGAGCGGCGGGGCCGTGCCGTGCGGTGCCGGAGGGGCCGCACGATGTACACGCTGACGCGCGGCCCCAGCAAGCTGGCCACGCAGCGCCGCACAGGTACCGAGTGTTGGGTGGGAGGGGAGGGGGATCGGGGGGGGAGCAGCACCGCGGGGCGCACGCTCCGCTCCTCCCGGCCCTGACTCCTGTAACCCCCCCTCAACCCCCCCTGCAGGTCCTACGCAGCAGCCGGTGGAGAGCAAAGTGGGCGAGCCGCGGGGCCGGCTGCAGCCCGGAGCCTGGCCCCCAGCCAGGTGAGCCCCGCGCCGCGCCGTGACCTTGGGGAAAGGTGACCGCGGCCGCGCGGCTCCGGGCAGGGCCCCGGGGAGGGGACTGGCACCGCAACCACCGCTCTGAGTCCGCCGAGGGGTCCGGAGGGGGGCGGCGGGGGTGGCCGTATTGCTGTGCCCCCCCTCAACCCCCCCCCGTCCAGGCCCCGTGTGGAGCCCCGCGGGCGCAGTTCCGCAGCGCAGCTGTGCGCCCTGCAGGGCCCCGAGGGCTGCGCGGAGCCCCGTATGTCCGTGTGTCCGTACGTCCATGTGTCCGTGTGCCCGTGTCCGTGCGCTCCCCGCGGGCCGCACCCCCCCCCCCTCTCCGCCCCCACCCTTGGAGTTGTGCAACCGCCGCAAAAGTTCAGGGGCGGCGGTGGGGCCGCATCGCGGGGTTCTCTCCGTGTCAGCCCGTATAGCGGCGCTGTGCCCGGAGCCCCTCTGCTCGGCGCTGTATCTCCCTTCCCCCCCCACCCCCATGCACAGTCCGAAGGGCCAAAAGGGAAGAAGTCCAGGGGTCCCGGAGGCGGGGGGAGGGGGCCGTGTCCCTGTGCTGCGATACTCCCTGTCCCCGATCCCAAAAGTCTGTGGACAAGGGGCAGCTTTGACCCCTTTCCTCTGCCTTCAGGGAACAACCAAGAAATGCCTCCCCCACCCCACACCTCACACATCAGCTGGAGCATCCCCCCCTCAGGGCAGCTGTGGTGGCAGCGTGGGGCTGGGGGCTCGGGGGTCATCTTCTGGCCCCCCACACCTCCCCCCTGTGCTCCTGGGGCCTCTCAGACTTTGTCCCGTGAGTGGTGTGACTCCCGGACTCCTCCTGCCCCACAGCTGTGCCCGGGGCTCTGTGCTGACCCTTCACATGGATCCTGTTCCATGCCGATGGTTTCACCTCGTCCTGCTGCCCCGCGTGCCTTTTGGGCAGCAGCTTTCCTGGAGGGGTGTTGGGATGAGGCAGCCCCTGAGCTGCTCCCCTGGTGCACAGCTGTCCTCTGTTGCTTCCGTCGCATTGCTTTTGTGTTGCCCCACAGCTCAGGCACTGCTTGTGCACCCGGCCCGTGTCCCACCCCCGTGCCTCAGTTTCCCTCATGTTGGGCAGAGCTGCGCACCTGCAGCACACTGGCTCAGAGCTGTGCAGAGCAGCAGCAGCTGTGGGGTTCCCATGTAGCAGCTGTGACAGCTGCTGTGTCCCCAGCTGGGCAGCCCACAGGGCACGTGGGGAGGGCAGAGCACTGTGCACCCTGATCTGCTTTTTTCCCCGTTATTTTTGGGCTGTCTTCCTGCTGCCTCCATCCAGAGCAGAGCTGGAGTCTGGAAAGTATGTGTCTTTGCTTGGCTGTAGGGGCTGGGGACTGCCCAGTGTGGTGGCCTCCTTGGGGGCAACCTGGCAGACAGCTGTGTCCACTGGTCCATCCTTCCCCTCTGCTGGAGTGGGGTGGCTATGATAGGACAGTGCCAGGCTGGTGGCACAGAAGGGCTGTGTGGCGCACACAGGATGTCAGGGATGCGATGCTCCTTGCGTGCCCCCAAGTTGCCCTTCTTCCCTTAATCCCTGCTTTCCCCAGCCCAGTCCAGAAGCTCATCTTCAACAGAGTGAACGGCAAACGGCCGCAGGTTCTGCTGCCACACACCTCTGTGCCTGAGGAGAGCTACACAGCTGCACACGAGGAGAACGTCCGCTTCATCTACGAAGGTGTGAGGGGCTCAGGAAGGTGGGGGGGGAGGGGGCTGCAGGGTGCTGCCTGCCCTGGGGTTCATCCACAGCCCTCCATCCACAGCCTGGCAGGAGGTGGAGCAGCAACTGGACGGGGGGCAGAGGGGGGAGAGCGCCCGTGGGCCTGTGCAGTACGTAGAGAAAACCCCGAACCCCCGGCTGAAAAGTGAGTGGGGAGTGTGGGGGGGGAGAGAGGGGGGAGCAGGAGCTGGGGGAGCCCGTGGCAGGGCTGTCTCCAGCTGGGGGTGGGGTGCTGTATTGGGGGGGGGGTCCCACGGGCTGTGCTGGAGAGCCCAGGCGGGTGGGACATGGGGTGTCAGTGCTCCAGGGCTGGGTGGGTTGGCCCAGCACTGTGTGGTGGGGTCTGGCTGTGGGGTTGTATCAACACCCCCGGTTCTGCTGTGGGGTTCTGCTCTTCACTGCCCTGGGCACACAGGATGAAGGCACGGCAGGGATGTGAAGGGGGCCAGGTGTTGGGCTGGGCAGTGAGAACGTCCCCAAGAAGAGCAAACGCCCATAAGCCATTCCCTGGGGCAGGGAGGATGGGGGTCAGAGGGTTTTTTTTTCCCGGTGGTAAATGGACGGTGCTGGTGGGAACACGCTGTGCTCCTCTCCAGCTGCTCTCCCTTCTCTCCCTCCCCTCTCTTTCAGACTTTGTTCCCATTGACCTGGAGGAGTGGTGGGCGCAGCAATTCCTGGCCAAAATTGAGAACTGCTCATAAAAGGGAAGGCGATCTTTTTCACTGTTTTTTTTTTTTTTTTTTTTTCCTTTTCTAAAAAACGAAACAAAACAACAACAACAAAAAACCTATTAAAAAAAAACAAAACAAAACAAACAAAAAAGCAAAGAAAACGCAAACAACAACAGCAAACCACAAAGCCAAGAACCTCCGGTCGGACACTACGCACCGTGATATTTAAACACCTTTTTCAAGCCGACAGCAGCCCGTGCTCCTCTGCCAACCCCGAGGACAGCGGGAGCGGACCACAGCCATGCCCGGTGCGGGGCGGAGGAGCTGCGTGCGGCCCCGGCCGGGATTCCTTAAGTGCCAGTTCTGAGCCCGCTGCAGCTCCGGGACACTGCGGGGCGTGCGGGCGGCCCCCTTCCCTCCCCCCCCCCTCCCTGCTGGAGGACAGCGGGTCACTGTAGCAGGACAGACAATAAAGCGCTGAAACTGCCTGTGGGTGAGAGGCTTGCGGCCGGGGAGAGTTTGGATCCGGTGGAGCATTGGTGGCCCGGCAGAGGGGCGCAGAGATGGAGAGGTTCGGATCGTCCCTCTGCAGCCGCCCCGTGGAGCTAGAGGTGCTGCTGCCGGGGGGCTGAGAGTCGCGGCCGGGAGCTGTGCAGGGCTCTGCTATCTCTGCAGCTCTGTTATCTCTGCGGTCCTCACAGGGGTAAGGAAGTGGGAGGAGGGGGCCGGGAGCAGCCCTGCGGCACAGCCTTCATGCGGGACAGCCGCTGCAGGGGCTGCACCCCACGAAGGGCCCCGGTGCAGCTTTGTCCGGGCTGAGTCCCTGTGCAGGAGCCCCATCAGGTCCTTCGCAGACCAAGCCACGCAGGGCAGGGAGCTGCTCACTGAATGCAAAGAAAGCCAGAAAACACCCACTGGAAAAAAAGGAAAGCTTTATTCTTGTGGTGGGAACAACAACTGTACTGCAGCCTGGCACAGCAGCCACAGCACTTTCCCAGGCTTCCCAGATGGTGCTGCAGGAGGGGGATCGCGACAGGTAGCAACAGCAGTGCTGCCTGCTGACCGTGCCCCAGTGCAGCAAGTCCCAGTGTGGGCTGGTGCTACAGCAAAGAGAGGCACTGGGCTGCCAGGATGCAGGATCGGTGGTACCCAGGGCAGCACCTCCCATAAGCCCACACAGCCCCCCTGCTCCTACTTTCCCACTGCTGCCCCTGTGCAAGGCAAAGCCCCAGCAGCCCTGCTGCATCCTGCCATTGCCCTGTACAGAGGGTCCCAGCCTTCCTGGTGGCCCCAAGAGAAAGCAGCACTGCTTTCCTTGCGCTGCTCTCCCACATCATCCCCCCCCCCCCCCTCCACAGCACAGGGATGCTTGCAGAAAGCACAGTCGTTGTCCCAGGGGCTGTGCTCCCCTGCTGGCTGCTTGCTAATAACCACACAACCCCATGAAGATCCGGGGAAACTCTTAGTAACATGATGCACCATCATTATTTTTAAACAACATTAGGCAGAGGGGAAAAAAAAAAAAAAAGAACAGGAAAGGATGATTCAGTTACAGGAACAGAACAAAAACCCAACCCAAAGGACACCCCGACCCGACAATGCAATCACAGGGAGGGAATCAGCACCCCCTGCCATAAATATTAATTCATTTAGTATGTGCAATTGTGTGTAGGACTATAGTGCAAATAGCTCTGCATTGATCACGGAGCAGCTGGAGGCAACTGCCCGCAGGTGACACAGGGACCAGTTAGAGACAGATGAGAATCAACCGACACGTACAGAAAACAAACAAACAGAAAAGCAACGCAAACGCTGGGAGACGTTGAAAATAAATCCTGGGTGCTGCCTGTGGGCACTGCGCACAGCCAGGGCAGCGTGGGGTGGGGGGACAGGGAGCAATGTGGGCACAGGCTGTGCTGCAGTGCTGCAGAACACGCTGTAGGGCAGTGCTGTTGTTTAAACCTCTAACGGAAGCAGTGCCGAGGCAGCAGGCTGCACCTCCAACCATCGCTGCCCACACACGGAGCCCTGGGCTGTGATCCATCTGTGCCAGGCGCTGCTCCATGAGCACAGCCTCTCCCAGCACAGCGGGGCTGTGCCAGGCTCCCTCTGCCCCTGCTTTTGAGCAGTGGGGGCAAGAGGAGCTGCTGAGGTTCCCTTTTGTCACAGAGCCAGGCACGGTGGCACCGAGGGTTTTGGTGTCAAGGGAACAATCAGCATATGCTGCTTGTGCCAGCTTCCCTTCTTGCATCTCCATGCCATTAAGGCTGGGATGGGGGTTTTGCGTCCCCTCTCCCTGGCACAGTGCATCCCCATGAACCCAGCAACCATTCTGGATCTAAGCTATTGGACAGCATCCTGATAAACCACAAGCAAACCACCTCACAGAACACAACTCGACGTGTGCGTGGAGACCGCAGAGCCGCTTCCCAGTGTGCGTGATGAGGGGCAGGATGGGGGGGCACGGGGACCTGAGGCTCCGGCACAGCCTGCAGCACCCACCAGCACCCAGACACCCCTTCCCCTGCTTGGAGGGCTTTTCTTTTGGCCACAGATGCGGGTGGAAGTGGCAGACACACACACTCATTTACACGTGTGTGCGGGCAGCTGATGCACACGGAGCCCTGTGCTGCCCATAGCAGGAGGTTACGACTCCATCCTCTCCCCCCTCCCCAGTGAAAATTTTCTTACATTTATACATTATTTAAGACACACGCTGATATATAAATTACTGTCTCTATATATACTATGTATAGGCGGCGGGGCCAGTCCATGAAGGAGGACGTGAAGGGCTCTTGCTCATTTCCCTCTGTCCTCTGTGTAGTGTTGGAAGCGAGTGAAGCTCATGAAGACTTGCTCCAGGGATATCTGGCTAACCGAATAGTCTTCTAAGCGATACTTCTCTTTGGCTTTCTCCAAGGCCCCAAAGACCTGCAGGGAATGGCACAGCAGCATCAGTTACTGTCAGGTACCCCCAGCATAGGAGTCAAGCTTTCCCCATGGAGACCACGGGGCAGGGTGTCCAACTCCATTAAGAACCACATGTCCCCTGGGTTGGGGTCCAGCAGGGAACAGCAAGGCTCAGACACTGCAGGCTCAGGTGGCTCTGAGCCCACCCAGAACCAGCGCTGTGCTTCCCAGGAGGGAGATACGGGTTGGGAAGGATGCAACAAGCAAACACAGCCCTTCCATCACCACTGAGCCTTCGGGATGTGCTTGTGTAAAGTGGCCACTCCCCCTCCTCCCCTCCCTTCTCTTCCCATGTATCACACGTGCTCCAGCATCCCTTACCTGCGCCCAGCTGAGGTTCTTGTTGGTCAAGTGGTAGTGCACCATGCCCTGGTGCTCGTGCTTCAGGACACTGCCTGCAAGAGACCAGCAGAGAGAGGCTGTGAGCTGTGAAATGGGGGAGCTCACGTACACACCCTGCCTAGCAGCTCAGGGTACCTGGGAAAGTCTTCTCCACGAAGGCCTTGAAGGCCTGCAGCTCGCCCTCCTCATCAGTCCGCGTTTTGGCCAGCAAGGTGTAGCCACTGCCAAACTTGCTCTTCAGGTGCTGGGGGCTGCCCAGACACTTGAACTGCCCGTTCACCATGATGGCCAGCCGCGTGCACAGCGCCTCGCACTCCTCCATGCTGTGGGATGGGAGGGAATTGCTGAGCGGGGTGGGGGCAGCAGGACCCCCAGCTCCGCCTGACCAGCTGCGGGGCCGGGCACTGCTGGGACACTCACCTGTGGGAGGTGAAGATGATGGATTTGCCACACTCCCGTGTCCGAGTCACCGCGTCCCAGAGCAGACGCCGGGCCACGGGGTCCATACCAGTGGAGGGCTCATCCAGGAAGATGACGGGGGGGCCACCAATAAGGGCAATGCCAGCGCTCAGCTTCCGCTTGTTACCACCGCTGTGGGGGAGAGAGGGGAGCATTGAGCACAGGAAAGCCAGGCACGGCAGAATCCCCCAGCCAGGGGGAGCTTTCGCCCCCTGGAGCCTCCTCTCACCTGTAGGTCCTGACAAGCTTGTCGGCGTGGGGCTCCAGCAGCAGCCCCCTCAGCATGTTCTCCACGCAGCTGCCGATGTAACGCTCAGGGATGCCCCGCAGCCTGGCGTACATGCTGAGCGTCTCACGGCCCGTCATGTGCTCCAGCAGGGCATCAAACTGAGGGCAGTAGCCGATCCGCTGCTGCACCTGGGGGCACAAAGAAGCTGAGGGGTTGGCTCAGCTGCAGCTCTGCACTGGGAGAGGCCCTGGCACCCACGGAGCTTTGCTACAAGGCTCAATATCACAGGGTGCCTAGGGCTGGCAGAGATGCGTGCATCCAGGGATTGAATCAAAACTCTGATCTGTGCTCAGGGTGGGTCAGTTTGTGACTCATCTCTGGCCTTGCAATTGCCTGGGCAATTCTCAGCTGTCAGAGGTCTGGAAATCTCACTTGCCACCATCTAACTGCACTAGATCACATTTTCCACATAGCCATTTAGAGAGCTAAACAGTTTTAACAAAGCCTTTGCCACCCTCAGAAGGTTTGTGAGGTTTCCCCTCATTTCATATCTGCTAGTCTCTTCTCCACAGGACTGCTTTCAAGTGACCAGATTAACAGGGAAAGCTGGACCAGATCAGACCACCACATCCCTGGTGCACCACACTGCCCCTGGCACCCACAGCCGTGCCCTCCCCAGGGGCACTCACAAGGGGCTGAGCCCAGGCAGACGTAGGACACAATGTGCTGCCCCTGCAGCCCTCAGTACCTTCTTGATGTTGGCCAGAATGCTGTGGCCATCCACGAAGGCATCCCCCGACGTGATGCTCTCATCACCCGTCAGCATCTTGAATGTGGTGGTTTTGCCTGCTCCATTGAAGCCAAGAAGACCAAAGCATTCCCCTTTGCTGACTGCCAAAGAGATCCTGTCCACTGCCAGCAGGGATTCCCGGCTGTCATAGACCTGGGGATGGCAAGGTGTGAGCACGCTGGTCACATCACATGCAAGGCATCTGAGGGCACAGCAAGGCCAGCAGGCCATGCTCACAGCACGGTGCTCCAGAAGGGCCACGTGCTCCTCACCTTAGTGAGCTCCTTGAT